TTTATTTATTTTTGGGACAGAGAGAGACAGAGCATGAACGGGGGAGGGGCAGAGAGAGAGGGAGACACAGAATCGGAAACAGGCTCCAGGCTCTGAGCCATCAGCCCAGAGCCCGACGCGGGGCTCGAACTCACGGACCGCGAGATCGTGACCTGGCTGAAGTCGGACGCTTAACCGACTGCGCCACCCAGGCGCCCCTCTCAGAGGCTTTTATAAATGGATTTTTCCATGTGAAAGGCACTCAATATATAATTATTAATTTGTATTTCTTGAGGAAAACTTCAAACTAGAAGAGGGGGGGAACACGGTAATACTCTTTTACTATAGGTGAACTTGAAGAAATTCTGAAAGAAATAAAAGTAGTCGGGCAATAACTATAAAGATGAGGAGGGACTAAGTCCACTAATGAATTTCAATATGCAATAACCTATCCTGTTTTTGGTGGAGAGGGTCTTAGAGAAATCTAGTGAGTGTTATATTCCACCAAATATTTACGGAGCAATTGCTGGGTGCTCTGTGTGTCCTTCTAAGGAAAACACACAACTGGAAAGTGGAATGAATCACTAACGGCAGAATTACATATCCAAGAACTCTGACGGGGTGGGGAGACGGCCGCTTGCGCATCACTACCGCGCACCAAACTGCACGTCTTCCCACTGAGAGGCGAAGCCGGTCCTGACCAAACCTGCTCTGGAGCAGCACCACCAAGAGATGATTAAAAAGTCAGCTTCTCCCATATATGCCATTACAACACAGGACTCTGGTAGGAGGATGTTCACATACTCCAAGGGAAGCTTCCAAGATCGTCAGCCACTGGGACGAGGAACCCTGAGTTGGTCACAAACCCTGAATTGGTCACAGACCCTGCATGGCTATTCCCCCTCCCATTCTGCTGTCTATTGAGGTAAACTTCTTTGCTCAGCCTATGACCTCTTGCCTCCAAATGGTGTTCTTGCTTCTCCTTGGGATGGCTGACCCAGAGATCTTTCCTGACACCCCAAGTGCAGGGAGCCCAAGTCCACCAGAGCGGTCACCCTCCCAGAGGGCCACTCGTCCAGAGGTGTGACCTTGCTTCTGCTCCAAGTTAGCTTGACTCACACTCAGCTGTTTCTGCCACATGTAAAAACTCACAGAAGCACAAAATGATGGATCTACGATTCCTGGGTTATGCAACCACACAGATAATCAAGACTTGGCCTTATTTAAAAAGGATGACCACGTAACTAGCAAAAGGCACTGTTTATTAGATTTCTATCTTCGAAGATAATTTTTCTCTATGATGTCCCAGAGCAGGGGTCAGCAAACTACGGCTAACAGATCAAATCTGGGCAGCCACCTATTTTTGTAAATAAGGTTTTATTGGAACACAGTCACACCCCATGTTTACCTATTGTTTAGGGCTGCTTTCCCGCTAGAACAGCAAAGTCGAGACAGAAACCAAATGGCCAATGAAGCCTAAAATATTCACTCTCTGGCTATTTATAGAAAAAGTATGCCAACTTCTGTCTAAGAGCAATAAGGCACTGCAAAAAAGGGTAAGAACGAGGTACCTGTTGACTGGCAGGTGTTTTCTTGTGACATGGCGGTTGCCACAGTCTCCGTGGCAGCATCTCTGACGGCCTGCTCCTCACTCTGCAGGAGGGTGAGGACACATCTCCAGAGAGCAAGTGTATCCTGCAGTTCTAAGAAGACAAAAGGAATTCAAATGACTTAGGGTTCAATTTACAAGCAGGTACCAATACCGCTTCAAATCTAGGGTGGAAGAGGGCAGTATTTAATGAGCAACAGCCATTCCTTTCTTCCTGGATACTGCAAGAACGGAAGACTTGGCAGTCAGATAAACACTGGAAGAGAGAGGGCCCTAAGGGGAAAGGTTTGGAAAGGTCTGTTTTTTGAGGGGAAGGCTTCTGGAGGCAACCAGCCCCAGGCAAGCCTCCCCACAAGGTGCGGCCCGGCTGACTAAGGCCCCAGGCCCAGCTGTCCACAATGACTCACGATTCTCAGGAATGAAACTTTATGCATAAAGAGTGCTTTAGGGAAACTAGCCCAGTGTTGATTTGAGTGACTGCTTGAGCTTATAAATTCTGAAAGCAAAGTTTCAATCAAGATTATACTTTGGGGAGCAAGAACTTTTGAAAAGGGCAGAGAACCATGCACAATAAAGATAAAGACGCCAGCCTGTGCCACCTCTATGTGGAGCCCACTATCTGACCACCACTGCCCCTGGGCAGGAACTCTGGCTGGTCCCCATGCTAGGTGCTGCTGCGGACAATGGGGTAGGGAAAGACAGTATATGCCCCTGAGCCCCTGGGTGGCTCAGTCGGTTGAACATCTGACTTCAGGTCATGATCTCACAGCTTGTGAGTTTGAGCCCCACGTCGGGCTCTGTGCTGACAGCTCGGAGCCTGGAGCCTGCTTCTGATTCTGTGTCTCCCTCTCTCTCTGCCTGTCCCCCACTCACATTCTGTCTCTCTCTCCCTCAAAAATAAATAAAAATGAAAAAATTTAAAAAGAAATCACAGATGGAAATGCATGGCTGTGCCTCACAGCAGGGAAAGATCACAGTGGACTGGTGTGCCCCAGGCAGCTTTGATGAGGGAGGTGAGAGGTGGACAGGGCCTCACAGAAAGGATAAATGGTGTATAGGGGGTGGGCCCAGGCTTGGGCAGAGTCACAATGGGAGGGCCACAGGAGACCATACTCATCATCCCTAGCCTTTCAATGGGGGCCTATCCTGTTGAACTCTCCTTAGGTCTAAGGACCTCATCTGCCCACGGAGAACTTGATATTAGAGTCACTAGTGCTTTAGTCAAACCAAGAACACCAACGTTCCCTCTGGGGTTTTGTTCTCTCTTTTCTGTTATAAATCTGGCTTTAAATTTTACACAGTCTTTCAGAATCTATGCACTCTAATTGTTCTCTCAGGTTTAATATTTTCCTTTCTTAATATTTTCCTTTTTAACATGGTCATTTATACTCTCAGAGATCTTCAATCTTCCCTTTTTAGTCCATTTTGATTTTTCTTTTTCCTTAAATGACTTTGTTCTGTCCTTGACTTGTCCCCATGCACTTTTATGTCCTTTGTCTTTTAGTTCTGTACCTATTTTTCATGCTCTTACAGGCCCTCAGCCACCACTGACCTCCTTCCTTACTGCATATAATGCTATAACCAGCTCCAGGAACTGATTATGAACCAATGGCTCTTAACCAGGACTCAATTTCGCTCAGAATTCCAAGTTATTTCACACACATTTTGCCTCATCCGAGCTAGGGTTACAGTGGCCAAAGTTACCCAGAAAATGCTACAATTGCTATCCCCACTGGAGAGGCTTCACCAAAGTTTTTGGTAAAGCTTTGCTCTTATTCCTCTGGGTCTGATGATTAAATCCCAATCACTGAAGGCCCCTTCCAGCTTTCCTTTGGGTGTAAGAAAAATGTGTGGAAGTCACTTAGAGGAAAGAATTAAAAAGATATCAAAGACAACTTTGTTTCCCAGAGATATCCAGACACATGAGACATTTCAATGGTCTGAACTATGCTAACACTGAAAATTTGAGTCTCACCGTCTAAAAGAACAATTCTTTCCTTGAGTCTGTAAATCCTTTCTCCACAACTCCACTGAGAGCTCTCTGCATGCAGGGACCATGGCTTATTCTTATTCTTTGAATCTGCTTTTCACATTAACCTCAACACCAAGTCCTATTGATTTGCTTCCCAAACGCCTTTTGAGCCTGTCCTTTCTTCTTCTTTAATGCCCCGGCTTCACCCTGACCCATTCCTTTCTCACCAAGATCATTGCATCAGGCTTCCTGGAAGAGGTGACGGTTAGGGTGAGTCTTGAAAGACAAACAGAAGTCATTCAAGCAGCAGTCTGTTTAAAGAACTGTTCCCTACCGATGATGCACGGAGCCTATGTTTGGGAGTGGTGGCCGATGAGCAGGGAGGGCTGGGCAGGGCATCAAGCCGTGTGAAAGGGTGTTTAGATTTTATGCTGAAGGCAATGGGAACCCACTCAAAGGCTTTAAGCAGTGGAGTAAAACGATCAGATCTGTATTTCAGAAAGACCACAGAGGCTTTTGGAAGCATTAAGGAGAATGGCTTTGAGGGCAAGATTGAAAGAAGCTGTTGGGGAAAAATGAGGAATTGGCAAGGGTTGGTAGGGGCAGGGGCAGGGGTGGCATTTGAAAGAGACGAAGGTACGGTGCACATGGGTCAATTTTCACCTTCCCTTCTTCTTAACCCTGGAGTATCTATTCACACTTCTAGCACACTTGGCACAATGGACCTCCCTGTGCCCAGGACACTTACCGAGAACGGGATCCGGGCTGGTGAGCAAGAACGGTGTGGTGCTGGTGAGGGCTTCGGCAGCGGCCAGCCTGGACTCTGTGGGAAGGTGTTCTCCACAGGATGCGGCGACCAACCGAACCCACTGCTTCAGTGTGGGGACCATGGAGTCCCTGGTCTGAAAGCACAAAGCATATGGCAGTTCAGCAGATGTGGTCAGGGGCTGACATGGTGTTAGGGACGAGCTACATACACCCCATTGGATCTGCAAATTAGCTCTTACTGCAGGGGGAGAATGGTTTTTTAGTTGCTTTTCCAACCCAACTAGGGAGAAATAAACAAGCCCAGGGGAGAAAATCTGACTTTCAGTAATACTGAGTCAGTAGAACTAGCGAACAAGTTTCTGGAGTCTTTCTGATGCAAATCAGGGTATCAGAACATCAGTGTATTTGACAGCTTCAGTAAAGACAAGCCTTTTGGGGAAAGACTGTGGCAGCAAGTAATACTGTTGTCCCCAGGAATGAGATGCTCCTGTCTTTAGTAACAGAACCTCAGATTTTTGGCTGGGCATGTGGGTACCCAGCTGAAGACTACATTTCCCAGACGCCCCTGCACTTGGGAGTAATATGTGATTAAGTTCTGACTAACGGTACACTTTTAGTCATGCCTTAGGAAACAGCTATGACCTTCCCTTCCTAGGTTTCTCTTTCCTGCTAGCTGAATAAGGACAAGATGGTGGAAGTTGAAGCATCCGTCTGGGACCATGAGATGGAAGTCATGTTGAGAACAGCAGAAAAAGGAACAAGGGCCTGACGGCCTAATGCAGTCCAGCCACCATAACTGCTTTGACTGCTGTGATCTAGTGTAAGCCATGGTATTTGTGAGTTTCTGCTACAACACTTACAGCAGCTTCCTAACTAACACTGTTGTTTAAACAAAGCTCTATTTTTTTTTAAATACTAATAGCTTTCTTTATTGAGATACAATTCACCATATAATTTACCCATTTAAAGTATATAATTGAGTTTTTAGTATATTCACTGGTTTATACAACCCATTTGCCACAGTAAATTTCAGAACATCACCAAAAAGAGAAATCCCACACCATCCTCCATCCTGTCAGCTCCCCAGTGACCCAGCCCTAAACCACTAATCTACTTTCTGTCTCTATGGATTTGCTTATTCTGGACATTCCATATAAACTGACCAATACAATGCATGATCTTTTGTGACTGGCTTCTTTCATTTAGCATGTTTTCAAGGTTCATCCATGCTACAGATGTATCAGCACTTCATTACTTTTTATGACTGAATAATATTCCATTGAATGGACATACCACATTTGTGTACCCATTCATCAGTTGATGGACATTTGGATTATTTCTATCTTTTAAACCCTGGTTTTCTATTTATTCTACAAAGGGGATTATTGTTCCAAATGTACTTTATTTCCCCTATCAATTTAAATGTTCAAAATAACCATCTATGGGGCTCTGTGGAACTGAACCAATGAGCAACTTAGACCTTGAGGAACAGGCTGGCTCCCAATGTACAAAGAAACTCAGGTCTTCCTGGGAACTTCTTTTATGTGTTTCTCTATGGTTTTGTTAATTTTTCTCTCCCTGGAAAACTCCCAATTTTCATCAAATATCGTTTCATTCAAGTACCACGCAGTGCCTTTAAGATGCACATGACAACTGGTTAAAAGCAGCTGTAGATGAGAACACTGTCTTCTGGCAGATGTGACAGGCTGCCCTGTGACTACTTTCTTAGAACTTGTTTTTTATTCCCCTCGGGGATGTAGCTTTGTTTTTTTCCAGTAAATCCTCTCCCTTCCTACAAACCTCTCCCCCTCAAGCCCCCAACACACACCACTGACTTTTTTGGGCTCTTTTCTCCTAGTGACCAGCCAGCTTTAGCCTCCTGGCACACTTAGCTCTCACCCTCTGTTCCTTCTGAACTCAGTGACCTCCTCTGTGAAGTCTTCTCTTTAGCATCCCTACACTCCCTTCCTCCTCTGAAATCCTCCAGCCTCCTCTCTAACAGGGCATTTAATATCACAATCTAACCCTCCTTCTCACTCATGCCACTGTCCCTCCATCCTTGTTCATCTTCTGACCTCCAAGTACCTCTGGCAGTGCTCCTGTAAGGGACTGGAACCTGTGAAACTGTGCTGCCACTATCACGGTGTGGTCACATGTAACCAGGAGCTTCAGGTACTTTTACTACAGTATCTACCGCCTTCTACTTATAATAATTCTCTGATGGAGGGGCGCCCTGGGTGGCTCAGTCAGTTAAGCATCTGACTCTTGATTTCAGCTCAGGTCATGATCTCACGGTTCATGAGAGCTCCGTGTCAGGCTCTGTGCTGACAGTGTGGAAGCTGCTTGGGATTCTCTCTCTCTCTGCCCCTCCCCTGCATGCATTCTCTCTCTCTCTCTCTCTCTCTCTCT